TTTAGAAGCTAAAATGTCTTACAAAATAGTAAAGGAATTAAGAGTTAAAAAGTTCTGTCAGAGAAATATTTTCACACTGTTGCAGTTGCCTTCAAACACACACACATTTTTTTATCCATCTTACTCTATACTAAAGACAATTTTCTGCAGTATTTTTTTTATTTTTAAATTTCAGAATATTATGGGGGCACAAACATTTAAATGAGTGGCAAGAAGTATATTTGTTTGCCTTATATCCTTAATATTGAAGGAAGTTATCAATCAGATTATTGTAACAGTATTCTGCACTGTTTTGTGAGAGGTGCTTCATAAAGAATTCTGATACATCGTGCATATATGTAGCCCGACATGATTCTAACTGTAACTCCTTTTAAAATGTTCTATGGGCATTAAAGTATTTACCAAAGAAAACACAATAGTGATTGTAGGCTTAGGAGAAATGTGGTTTTTTTTCCCCTCTCCACCAATTTCTTTTTATTTTTCCACCCTATTGTTTTCGTCTCCTTTCTATCACCTGCTTGTTCCCCAATAGAGCAGTCACACAACTGTGCCCTGTGGCTCTCCTTCTGAGATGCTTTATCATGTCTGGAATCCATGAGCAGAGAACTGACTCTCTGGCCAGAGGAGGTGTGGGCCTCCGTGATCTGCTTACTCATCACATAAAGTCCTAGGAAGACACAGATACTAAGTGCCTGAGCTCTCAGACTCAGAGGGTGCAGATACTAGACGTGGAGGTCACATTGGCACTTACCCAGCTCTACCACTGTCATGTTAAATAGGAGAGAAATGCATGCCTGAGAGATCAGGTCCTCTGCTCAGGGCTAGCGCTCAGCTGGTGGGCGCCAGCCTAGTCCATCAGCTGTTAGAATAATCACACACTTGTACACCAGGAAACACATAACCACGTCCTGCAGCCTGTAGTGACTATTCCACACAAGCTCCCTGGACACCTGGAGTAGGTCATCAGACCTCCCAGCAGTCGTGCACCCAGGGGGCTGGAGGCTGCAGGGTGGGGATGTAGGAGCCTCCTCTGCAGCCACAGGTGACGTCCCTGTTCATGATTGCCACCTGTACACGCTCTTACCAAATGGGGTTAGTTGTCAACTCTGTTTGGTCAAGGTTACTGAGATGTTTTCCCAGATGAATACAGTTAAACTTATCCTGCACATGCATATTCTACTATGCATTTTCTACTATTCTACTATTCTGCACATGCATATTCTATACTATGCCCATAAATATACCCATTTTAAAGCCTGTTAAATCGTTAACAATGCTTCAGCTCATAGGTTGCCAGGGCAAAAATTCAGAATGATTAATGTCAGTTATTTTTTTCCCCTCTAAAATATTGGAAGGAGTACTTTGTTTGCCCCCAAATTAATTTATAAAGAAAGCATTTATGAAGTCTCTGCAGTCTCTTGGCTTTGAATTAATACGTTTTGTTAATCATCCAACCACAGTGTTGGATTTTGAGGACTTTTAACTCCACACATCTATGACATTTTATCTTTCTATATAATCAAAATACCGCAATTCTTTTGCTTCTGTTCTTATATTGAGATGACTTTAATAGCATATAATATAATCAGAAAAGAATAGAATCTTAATAGTAACTAAAATTGTATTTTAATGATCATAAGCATATATGATTAATTCATAAAAATTCATAATACTATGTAGGTATTTGTATATGTAAATGTGCAATCTGTTTACATGTACAGTTATTTAATCACTGGTGAATGTAAATATCTCAAGTGATCTCGTCTACCTCATCTCCCTATGAAGAAAATGTTTATATTTAAGTTTGAAGAATAACAGAATACAGTATGCCTCCCTTTCAGTTGTCAGACTTACTCACCAATGTCCCAAACTGAGGGACTCCCTAGCCTGATTCTTCACGAAGTCTGAATATCAGTAATGGACAATTGTCAGTAATATCAGTAACTGTCCCTTGTGGTTGGAATATGTGCTGCTGCTTTTATAAATGGTACTGAATTTTTATCCCTGCTTTTTAAAATATAACTTTAACAAAGATATATTTATATATGTATATATACACATACACATATATCAATATATATATCCATACATATGTATGGATATATATATTATAACCACATTCATAATTCAATTCCCAACAGTATAATAAAACTGTCAAGAGCAGGGCAGTTGTGGAGCTGGCCCTTGGGCTGACCAGGGATACGTGTGTTTGCATGTACTCACGTGCATGTGGGTTGCTTGGGTGTATGTTGGGGGGGGAAGTTGGTACTGGCCACATAAACTATTTTCCTAATTTTCAAATTGCCTTATATACACAGTTATGTATACTTCTTTCAAGTTAAGTTTTACTCTTTTTTTAAAAAATTACCAATTTAGTATAATTCCGACATCTGATATTTATTAACTTTTCAAATCAACTTGAGACATCAAAAAAATGGGAGCTTCTTTTTTTTTATGTGCATCATGATTCCTAAAGTTTATTCAATAGCATTTCTAACACTCTGTCAATAGCATATTGAATTTTAGGATCACAATTAAATATAATAATGATAGTTTTGATATTATATATGTAGTAAATCTATATAGGTGTGTGATGCTAAAAAAATGGAAGCTTCTCAAGACTTCCTTCAAACTCGCAGCAGCCATCTCTGAGTTGTCATGTGCTTCGGACTGACATGCCAATCTGGAAAACCATTAATGTGAGAGAACACACATCTTGTGGGTACACTTTTTTTTTTTTTTTTTTTTTGAGACAGAGTCTCGCTTTGTTGTCCAGGCTAGAGTGAGTGCCGTGGTGTCAGCCTAGCTCACAGCAACCTCAAACTCCTGGGCTCGAGCAATCCTTCTGCCTCAGCCTCCCGAGTAGCTGGGACTACAGGCATGCGCCACCATGCCCGGCTAATTTTTTATATATATATATCAGTTGGCCAATTAATTTCTTTCTATTTATAGTAGAGACGGGGTCTCGCTCTTGCTCAGGCTGGTTTTGAACTCCTGACCTTGAGCAATCCGCCCGCCTCGGCCTCCCAGAGAGCTAGGATTACAGGCGTGAGCCACTGCGCCCGGCCCTTGTGGGTACTCTTGATTCCTTTGATATTCAAAGGTAGCAATTCATAAGGCTTTGTATTCCCTTCTAAGTGTATTTGAAGACACCCACTCTAAAAGTGCAAGGAAAATTCAATATGTCTTAGCAATGATGGGGTCAACTGAAATGTTGCCTTCTTTCTGATGACATTCCAGAACTTCTCACTTCAACACAATTCTCATGTAACACGTTCTGTGCTTCCTTCATATAGCACTAACATTATTATGTGTGTGTTTACATATATGCTCCCCCCACTGCTGGACTCTTCCAGTATACATTTTGATTTATAGGAACTGGCGATACAAGTACGGTGGTATTAGAATAATAAACATTTATGGAATTAAAAAAAAATCACCCGACAAGTCAGCACTAGAGCGCCTAGCACACAGACTGGGTGAGCATCGATGGGAAGGTTGAGAAATGTGATATTCTAAATCTTGGGAATGAAAAACTTTGTTCTCATCCCAACCCATGCACTTCTGAGCAAGCAGAAGCCCACCTACTCCAAGAGATTTTTATCACCTTTCATTTGTTTCTGACATTCTGGGGACCACTTTAGAGTTTTCATGATACTCAGATCCTGTCAAACAGACCATTCCTCAAAGATAGAAAAAATAGTGGAACTTCCAATGTGAGCAGAGTTAATGGGAGGGTGTCAGTTCCTCCCACTTTGCTGTGATTTGGGGGGGGGGGAAGTTGGGGTGGGTTGATTCTATGCACTTAGAGCTCAGAGCTAGTCACACAAGCTCTGCCCAAGACAAATTTCCCCATCTCGATAATAGGATGGCTTTTATATATCATTCAAACTGCAATATTAAAACCACTAATTATTAACTGTACCTCCAGGAATTATTTGGTAAAGAAAGGATTTCCAAAGGAGGAGGAAGGGAAGGGAAGGGTATCTGTAGACATGTGTTAAAACGTGTCAGTTTAAAATACTTCTTTCTCCTATGTGTACAGTTTACACAACATTTCGTAACAGATCATCAAATTTAATAATCTATTTTTTACTCTATGACAAACTTTACAAGATCTATATCTCTTCAAACCAATAGGTTTGACCATGTTAATTTATATCTTAAATGTATTTTAACTTTACTAGACTTTCACTTCTCAATTCTCTAAGATATTCCATGTAAATATTTTCCACTCAGAACCTTTTTATGAATCAGCGTGTCTCTGTTATGACATTCATCAAGAACTTAGCAAGAACTTATTTGAAATTCAAAACCCTAATTATAATCTAAATTCTATAGAAAATATGATTAGGGCAACTACTTCTTTTAAGAGCACAGTTTTTTTCGAAGATAGGTATCAATGGATTAATAAAATATGGCTACATATTTTTAAGTCTCAAAATGTTTCCTACATAGCTTCATCATCCAAGAGTCAGAATAAAATATATTTTTTAATTGAAATTTTATTTTTTTATTTTAATTTTTTTGCTTTTCATTCATTTTATTTTTTTAATTTTAATTTTTTTTTATTTTAGCATATTATGGGGGTACAGATGTTAAGGTTATGTATATTGCCCTTGCCCCCATTCCCTCTTTTAAAATAGTGTTAAGCAGACTCTGAACATCAGGTATAGAGCAACTACACATTCCACCTTTCTTTCTTTTTTTCTTTTTTTTTCCTGCCCCAATATGATATGCAGGAAACATTTTAGAAAAGCTACAACTTCCCTTTCTCCCGCAATGGCCATCCAATTAATAATATGATTTACCTGTTAGGCTTTGTAAGCCTTTTCATAGAACTAAATTAAAATATCCATAGAGCTCCTTTTTTTTTTTTAGATCATCTCAACTTTGGATTCAGAAAAGACACAGTGCTGATCGAGAGTGACGTTTTGCGGATACACTCGTGCACGAAAACCACCCTAATAAGTGATGTTTTCCTCCTCCTGTCCCCCCAGCTGAAGGGGCCTGCGGCGGAACCTTGCGTGGCACCGGCAGCTCCATCTCCAGCCCCCACTTCCCTTCCGAGTACGAGAACAATGCTGACTGCACGTGGACCATTCTCGCGGAGCCAGGGGACACCATCGCTCTGGTCTTCACGGACTTCCAGCTGGAAGAAGGATACGATTTCCTAGAGATCAGCGGGACAGAAGCGCCATCCATATGGTAAGTCCTGACAAGAGAGGTCGTCACTGGGTGCTGGTGCAGTCGTGTTTGCTATGTTCCCCCCAAATGGGCTTTGTGAGTTTCTGTCAGTGGATGTTCACTGGCAACACAGGTGTCCCTTTTTGTGCCTTGCTCTTTTGGCTACTAAAAAGTGATCTTTATGGTGTGACCAATTTCAAGGTTTCTAGGATGTCCTGGTGCTGGTATTTGGAGAGGGTACCTGTGCACTTTGAACTTGCCGTGTCCTCCTTCCACACTCTTTGAAGGCAGCACAGACGATGGCAACTAAGCGAGGCAAGTTAATTTTGGGTTTTGCCTGGAGCTATTTTTCTGTGAACAGGTGTTTTTTTTATACTGTGTATTTTCTTTTATATCATGTTACCAAGCATTGGTGGACTCTGCTGCAGGTATGTGACCATGTGTATCTTTTCTTCTGTGGAGACTGTACACCAAATCATGGAACCACCTCAGGATGTGTCTCTGGCTACCAGAGCATCAAAGGCAAACTGAGTCAGCATAAATCCTAATCTAACATATGTACAAAATCGACCAAGGGGTGGTCGGTCTCTGGTGTGTACTGTAGTGGAGATAGTAGGAAACAGGATCTAATCAATGTAGGTTTGGTGGTATTGATTGCAAGAGCAGCTTTGGCTATGTCTGTAAACGCAGTTTAAAAGAGACAATTAAGAGACATTTAAAGGCTTACATTCTGCCTCTAATTAAGTAATTTGTTGTGTTGAAATGTTTTCTGTGGCTTTTTTGGTTTTTGTTATTTTGTCAGCACTTTCAAACTGCTTCATTCATCTATTTGAGATCTTGACTTGTGGGTAAGCTTGATAGGATGTATGTTCAAACTAAAGTAGAGGCAGAGGAAGTATTGGCCACTTCTGCACAGGAAGGAGAGAATGTGGAATGAATGATTATGAATATATCTACATGTTCATGGTTGCATTTCAGTACAAAGACTTTAGCTTAATGTGAAACACATTGCAAATAACTGTTTGCTGATCAACTGTTTCAAACCAATTGTTGAAAATGAATTTTACTTTAGTTTTAAAAACTCAAGTCTTAAAGCAGAGGGTTCGTATTCACAGGTAAGTCATTTCCTTCTTTGGGTTTTATTGTACTTATGTCAACTGTTATTTCAGTTAAGAAGGGGCAAAAAGACTCTCTGTGCTCTTTGTTTTAAATTGTATTCACCTTGAACAATACTTTCAGATTTGCCACTTTACCCATCTGCTTATTTTATGGTACATAATCTTAACTTTAAAAACTGAATTTTTAAAAATTCAGGGATTTGTTTGAATTATTATCCATCTCACTTTGCGTGACATCAGAGCCAGTGGAAGCAGGCACGGAGCTGAGAGCGGGACAGCCGGGATCCGCCTTGCCACAAGCAGCCTTCATGGCCTTGGGCAAGTCTATCTGTAGAACAAAGAGGCTGTGTCAAACATTTCTTTAAAAACCAATTTATTTAACATCTATTGAGTGCCTAGTGTCTGCTGGTCATTCTGAGAGATTCGGGTGATCTAACAACTTACTTGTTGTAAAAATGACATTGTTGTGGTTTTCAAAAAAATCATTGAAACACAAAACATATGATGACTGAATTTCAGAAATTTGATGATTAATGTTAAAGGCTTCATTCCTGAGAGTGTCTAGAGATTTTTTGCCCTGACTCATGGTCTTGCTGGTGAGATGTCAGACTGGGCAAGGTGTGAGAAGGAGTGAGGCGTATTTGTCAGGGATTCCAGTACCCATAATCAGGGGTAGCTTTTGCCAAACACACTTAATCTCTGTAAGACAGAGAACTTGAGGATGCAGAGTCCACATCAGAGTCTGCAATAAAAGTAGGAGATGCTACGACAGAGATGCCACCCAGATGAAGCATGACCCTGCAGAAGGACAAGAATGCTCAAACACACATTGTGGCTTACTGCTGCGTAATGGCCCCGCCATTCCATTTATTTTTATTAAAGATGGAATCAGGACTTAGAAGAGGTTTGACGTAGTTTTGCAGTTTCTTCCTTTCTTACCTTCTTGAGTTCTCTCATATCCTCTTCTCCTCCCTGCTTAATCTCTCTCTGTACCTCCCCCGGCAAATGCTCCCCAACTACTTTCATGGTAAATGCAAAAACGTGCATGACGATGATGTCATGAGTGTGCTACCAAGTGTGTTTGGTGCAGATGCTGAGTGGGACAGTGCGGGGGTTGATGGCAGCAGTTGTCGTTGTCACAGCACAGCTAGCCAGGGATGGCCCTGCCTTCTCGGTGACTGGGCTCAGACTGGGCAACTTTCCCCAGCTCCCTGGAATCCCTCTGGTTGTTTGCCAGAGGATATGGTGGAAAAGTTCTCAGCAGGACTTTGACCCTGTGATCCTTCTGGTCTAATAAACTCTGTTGCCCATTGGCGCTTAACATGCTCTCCTTGAATAGTCGGTATCAGACAGGTGCAGGGCTGCATTCATGCTCATATTCTTAGCATGATTTATTATATACTGACCCGTGTGCTTGGTGCAGATGCCCTGTGAGGTCATGGCTGTTACCGTCTGCTATGACTCCTGCCTCTGTTAGTGTAGATGATGAAACGGAGCTGCCCAGTGGATAGGAAACGGCAAAGCTGATGGTGCACGTGGCAGAGCCAGGATGCAGGGTCAGGGGCTGTGGCTCCAGCCTCCTCTTCTCACTTCTATACTGTCCCCTGACAGTCCAGTGTGGGGCTGAGCCTTAAAGCCCTGTTGGGGCAGTGCCTCTTCTCTGTTTCAGGACTGCAGGTTTGACCACAAAGCCATGAGCAGGTAACTCTCGTAGGGGAGATGTGCCAATCAAAAAGCAATTTGCCCTACACTCTGGATCAACACAGTTAGAGGAGGCAGCGTTTTGTCATGGGTGACATTTGGTGTGTATCCTAATAGCCAAAAGCAAGTCTCCGTGCGGCCGTACCACTACTTCTAAATGGAACTCTCAGCTTTCAATTACTCCTCTGTGGAGGCTCAAAGGGAAAGGACGACTTTCCTACACAACTACGGAAACCTACGTGAGCGCATCTAAAATAGAAAATGGAATCATTTGAAGCACCCTTTTAAGATTGGTACAATGCATAATGTGGCTTATCTTAAAAACACTATTATTTCACCATAATTTCAGAATGGCAGTCTCTGAAATGCTTAACAGCCCAAATTGGTGTATTTAAAAGATTTACTCATTCTTTAATTGCATAAAACATGCCAGGGAGCACCGTGGGTGGATGTGACCCCTTCTCAAACACAAAGTCACACCGATAAGACACAGGGACAGCGTCAATGGCTGTGAGTGGAGAGCACACACACATAATTTTCCAATAATCTGTTTTGTTTTTTTTTTTAAAAAAACCAGAACATACAAGCATGGGCACTCTAAGAAAAAGCTACTTGGAAAATTGTTAAGAACAATAACAGGATTAGCCTTATTTTCATTTAAGTTGGAGTGAAATTACCTACTCAGCTAGGTTTTATGTCAGCGTTGCCATGGCGACAGTTGAGACAGTCTAAATGCAGCCAATGATGTCATGTGCCAGAATTATCCACACATTGGACGTGGCGCGATGTAACCCCCATCGACTGCGTGTCTGTCAAATGGTTCTGATTTATTTTTTTTTTTATGTTTCAGTTTTACTAATCAGATTCTAATTCTATGCAGGTCCATTGCCTATCCATAGCCTACTTTACCAGAGAGTTGCCATGTGTTGTTCTCTTTGCAGCATGGCCTAGCAGCTATGATTTTCCTTGCAATTAAGAAGAAAATGCGTAGCAGTAAAGCCAGCCACGAGTATCTTTTTTGTTTTTTCCTGAAGTGATTTGATGGTGTAGCCTATAACTTCTAACTAAAAATATCAAGAAGAAAGAAAATCGATTAGATTTCAGCGTTTAACTTACCGTGGTTTCTAAATTAAGTCATAGTGGTTAAAGGGATTAGGGTTATGTGGTCTTAGGCAGGAAATAACGGAGGGAGAATGTACTCTCTTTAAAATATGCATTTTGGAGGGTGCTGTGCTTTAGTTGCTTAGTAAAATAGGCATCTATAATAACCCTAATCATTTGCCCATCCACCTTTGAGATGGGGAGGGAGTGAAGCATCTAAATGAAGGGAAACAAAGAAAAATAAATGCATTTAGAAATGCATCCTAAAACACATGTTAGTGCATGGATGTCTTTACTCTATGACTCAGTCTGTCATAGGGTGCCCAGAGCCTCAGCACCCTTCGGGGCCACTGACAGCCTGGCCAGCTGTCCCTGCATCCTGTAGCCCGGCGGTGCCATCCTCTCCAGTCTGTTCCACGGAACCCGCCCTGCCTTTGCACTAGCATGTGTCTGCACACTTGTTCAGCTACATGCCTTCCACATGGAAACCCCCGTTGCCCAATTAATGCCGATTAAATTGGCATAACGCTCGGAGGGACGTACAGCCTGGATGGCAGAACACTGCAGGACATGAGTAGAACAAACAGGCTGTACAGCCTCCTCCCTGGAAAACTCGAGTGATAATAACACAAGGATGCCTCTTGGCTGACTCGGAGTAGACCTGCCTTCTCACAGCAAACGAGAGTCTGTCACTACAGCTTCTTAAGGCTTACGTTCCATTGTCCCCAAACCAGCATAACTCTGTCCCTCTGCCTACCTGGACTAGGCAAGACAATATTTGAGGGGAAAAAATAAGGTTTTGTAACCACTTATTATTTTTTTTTTTTACCATTAATGTGGCAAAATCCCACAGTGAAATCAGTCTAATCAGTGACTTGCTAAAACCAAAGCAAAATTTCAGAGAAAGTGATGAAGCAGAATGAGCTTCACAGAATGTTTGAAAGGTCAATAACACCTCCAGTGTTTTCCCAGGTTGTCACTTAATTGATAATTGACTTGGTATGTATGTTTAATTTCTAACGAGGAAGGATTATAGACACACACAGTGACTACTAGATTCCCTGAGATCGATGCTACTCTTACCTGCTTAAAAATTCCCTC